CCATACCAGAAAAAAGGAGATAGAGCAATGGTTGAAAAAAACATGACAGGAGATTCTTTTATCAGCACCTAACATCTGACCTCTGACCTCTGGCTTGAGTGCAGGGGAACTGAGAAGAGGAAGAGGTAAGGAACACCACTGTAGCTCTTACATTTTTCATCAGAGTACTACCCCAGACATCAGGGGAGGTGAAGTACATGCCCCAGGGGACCCTAAGGTGCAGCTTGAAGCAATTCACTGCATAGTAAAAATTCTTTGATTTTGTGTGTTTGCATAAGACTCCATGCTACATCTGTTTTATCACTGTAAAAAAAAAAAAAAAAGATGTGTCGAGCTACTCATCATTGAGCAACATGAACTTTCAGACAGGTGGCCATATTTGATTCCTGGCTTTGGGCACAGATGTCATGTCATGCTTGGCTGAGAGTCTGGGCTCTAGAACTAAACTGCCTGGATTCAAGTTATGTCTCTACCTCTTGCTATAACAGATACTTTGGGCAAGTTCCTAATCTTTCTGTGCCTCAATTTCTTTATCTATATCATGGGGGTAGCAGCAGTGCCTACTTCAGAGTGTTGTTGAAAGGATTAGGAGTTAATATGCATCAAATACTTCGCATGTGTGTTCAATAAATGTCCGTTTTTATTATTATGAGTTACTTTCTGAAACTCTACACCAGTCCCTAGATCCTACTTGAAAAGCAGTGGATGATACAGCAAAGATAAACTTGCCGGGGAAAAACCTGAACATTGATTTCTATTTCAGAAATGTTTTTGCTGTACTGGCAAGAACCTTTCAGCATAGACTTGTATTCTAACCACATTCAAGTCAGAGTCCTGAGTACATTACAAATGAAACCTGTCTCCTCTTTTTTTTTTCACCAAGCTGGCTAAGGAGTCTTGCTCCATGAAATGAAATGCTGAATAGTACAAAGGAGAATGCACAGGGAATTGGCCCTGCAGTTTTACGTATTGACACTCTCCATACTCCCCCTTTTTTCCAAGTGGATAAACACCATGTTTCCACGATGGTGACAGTATCCATGTCCTCTGCGGCAGCTACTTTGTCGGCTCCATTAGGGAAGTCTGAAAGGTTGTGGAGAACGTCAACAGGGTTCAAATGCAGGCCTCCTGTGGCAGGCTCTTAGTTGGAATGTGGTACAACGAGAACCTTCTGAAGCTCGCCCAAGTTAAACACAGGATTTGTCACACACACGGCAAGGACATAAAACTGGTGTATGGTGGTTTTCTGAAGTGCAAGACCCTAGCCCAGCAGTTAGAATTGGTGCCCCAGAGCTCTGCACTGGGGGTGGCTGCTTTAGTGAGTTTCCTTTTAATCGAATAGGCTTAAAAACCAGAATCCTTTGTTGTGTGCAAGAAACAGTCACCAGCTGTTTTCTGTTTCCACTGAGGGCAGGACAAGAGGAAATAAAATGGATCAAACAGCACGGACAGGATTTAGCTTAGATACAAGAGAAAACATCCTGATAGTCAGGATTATTGAACAGTCAAGGAGAGTTATGTGACGAAGTAGACAATCTCCTTCCCGAATTTTTTTTTTATAAAACCCCAATATGGCTGAGGAGAAGGCTCTCTGAATCACTGACTAGCAGCCAACAGTACTGATTTACTAACTCCTGATTTTCTGAAATATTGGTGGAGCATGAAAGGCCCTCCAAGCTAAAAAATGTACCACATTCTACCATAATCTTGGTTAATGGCCTTCTCTTTTAAAAAGTATTAAATACTGCCAAGTGATCCCATATATCAGCCGTTTCTACCAGTAAATATCACCAGAATCAGATGACTTCCTAAAGCCCAACCACGATGCTTCTCCCAGGGAATGAGGTTTATAGAGCTCATGAGAAAAGTCCTGGATCCATCCTAGACCACACACTGAGGTGAGCCCTGGGTGCCAGAAGGAAGGGCAGCTGGGAAGTTGGAGAGGATGAAAGGGAAGCAGGAAGACCCTGCACCCTTCACCATCTACATTATGGTTTTATCCAAGTCCCCATCGACCTGCTGAGGATGCTGAAAATCCTCTCCAGCCCTGCTCTTGCTCCATCCTGTGAATTTCTAATGTGGGAATTAGAAGACTGTCAAGATTCCTTCTGGACTTATGGTCCAATCCTGCAATACCTCTGTTTCCCCAAAAGCCACATATTCTATCTACAAAAGAAGCTCAGAGAGTCCCAAAAGGGAGGAACCCTGACATGGACCAGGGCATGATGAAATCATTAGGGATGCCATTGGGCCATCATAGGAGAAGAGCTTGTACTAGGAAAAGCAAGAGCTTATATATACTTTAATGACAATAGTTGACATTTATAAAGTAAAATATTACAAGAGCTTTTGTAGATCATCTCATCTAATTCTTACAACAAGCCTCTATTATACCATGCTAGAATTTGAGGAGTTATCACACACAAAGAGGTTAGAATTATTCCAACTTTCCCAGCTACGGGTGGAGGAGTTGGACACACACTCCTTATACTCCCTGGGAGTGTGACATATGAGGCTCTCTTCTCTTTCTTGAGTCTCTGCTCCCTTGGTTCTCTCTTCACTCTTCTTTCCAATGAACTTATGGAGTGAAACTGGATACATCAGGATTGGGAGGCACCAAAGAGGTCCTGAGAAACATAGCAAAGAATGAGAGGCTCAGACCAGGAATCAAGGGAGATGGCTAATCCCTTTGCCTTTCAATCATGTCCTCCTCTGGTAGTAGAAGAAGTAAACCCAAAGGAAAACACTCTTGCTGCCACTCCTGTCTGCCATAACCAATCACCCACTTGTTGGGCCAGAAGAAAGCTTCAAAATCTTTATTAACATCTCACTCTAGGTGCCAGTACTGGGACTAGCAATCAAAACGAAACCTGTTTGCTGTTCCTCTCCTTACATACAATCTGTCTTGTTTTAAGACATCTCAGACCCATTTCTAACTCAGGCATACATTCACCATAGCAGCACCGCCCAGTCAGTAAATCATGATGACAACAATAAGGGTGTGACCAGCTGGTTGCACCAGCTCTGCTGTGCCATCACCGCTGCAATCCCCGTGCAGCGCCTGATAATGTTCAAAGCACCCCATTTTGTGGCCTAGGCAAATTAAGGGAAAAGGTAGAAACAAATACCTGTGTACAGAGAAGAGCGTGCTGGAGAGGGAGACGGGGAGCCTGGCCTCAAGCTAGCGTTAGGTGTGGAGGGTCCGTAAGGCTTCTCCAGGCTTACTCCAGTCCTGCAGACCACCTGTGGATCTTGTCACCAGCAGAAAGCAGAATGTCTTGAATCCTACTCCTGGAACTCTCTCGGCTTTTCCACATGGTGTCCCCTTTTACAGGACATCAGGCACCGTGAAGCTAAGCTTGGCCTTCTGGCTCCGCTTCGACTGTCTTCTTGCCTCCCCGGTTCAAAGAAAGAAAGGAAGTGGAGCGCCAAAGGAGGCCAACCGGCGGGAAATGTTTGACTTTCGAAAGGACTTGAAGTGAGAGAGGTCATCCTAGACGTTGAAGAGGGAATGTTTCAGAAGAAGGAAGAGCCCAGCAGGAGAGAATGTGGAAGACAGAAGAAGGGATTGACCCTTGGAGCAAATACAGCCGGATTCTCTTTCTGTCTTTCAAGAAGAAAACAGAAGTGTCTGGGAGCTGCTGGTGGTTCTCAGATAAACAAAGCAGGACACTGTGCTCATTCCTTTACATTTCAGTGATTGCCCTGAAAGGAAAGATGTCCATAAAGCAGTAGTGGAAGGGTTTCGGTTTTGGGGTTTTTGGGTTTTTGTTTATTTTTAAAGTGACTAGCTAATTACTTTTGCTGTGTGCGAGGATTTAATTCCAAGCTCACCTTCTCACATCAAGCCCAGAATGGTAACAGTGGAACTTTTCAGGTAAAGAAAAGGCATTCTTTTCACCTTTAGGATATTATTTAAATAAAACTTCAGAAAACGAAGAGGATGTGGGAAGAGGACAGTTGCTCTGACTCTGGCAAGAGGCTTAAAATGAGAAAAAGAGATGCAGGCAGGAGCCCACAAAAAGGCCAAGAAAGATAATGAAGGAAGAAAAAAAAATGGGGTCACAAAGAATGTGTGAACAGTAGAAGGTCTGATCTGCCATTTGTTTGTCCCTTCTTCTAGCTCTCCCATTGGGCAAGGTTGAATCCAAGAGAATTTGAATGATGATAAGTGGAACTCAGTGTTCCACCATCCTCATCCTCATCCTCCATATTCAAGCACCTACTTGATAACCCAGTTCACACTTTCTTCCATGAGAAACTGGAAAGGAAAAATTCCTGGAGGATTTACAGGAAGTGCTGTGGGGCCAGCCCTTGACCAACTCTGTTGAAAGTCAATGATGGGATGGAGAACTACTTTTTACAGCAAGGCTCAAAGTCCCAGAGATGGTATGAATGGGTGTTTTCTTCTTCCTCTCAGGTTGGCTTCTATGTTGAATCCCTGGATTTTGAGATGAATAAAATATTCCCTGTGAAAGTAGCCTGACTTTCATATCAGGCAACTTTCAAGAGTTTTAGGTTTATTAGGAACAGAAAGCCACTAAGAGGGTCTTGTCATGATCTAGGAGCCTCAAAAGTACAAAAAGATCTAGTACTCAGTAGTTCTTAGTGGTGGCTCTTGAATGGAAAAAGGGATAGACGGGGGCGGGGTCTGAAAATAGGCAATAAAAACTGAGTTTCTGAAGTTTGCACAGGGGGGCTTTTACAGTCTAAGTGTATACAAAGATACTGAACAAACACATTGAATTTTCCACTGTAAATTTTTTGACCTATCTAAAACAAACAATTAACAAGAAAGAAAACCTGCATAAACAAAATTTTCTTTTGATTAGTCCATTAAAGAGCATTTAATAGCCGCACACCATCAAACTGATAATCATTAAAAGAAAGGATATGAAAAAGATCTCAAAGTGGGAGGGAGAAGGGGAAGATTCCAGATAAGGAGATGTGTTTCCTACAAACAAGTATGCAAACAAAATAGATCCTGCAAAAGGCACTGCTTAAGAGAAGGAAGTTAAACAATGGCTTTATTGATTTAAGACATGTGGATTTCATTAGGGAAGCAGAATGCACAAAAAATGGATTGCGATATCTGAAACGAGGCAAGGAGCAAAATTAGGTCACAGGGCTCCTCAGACAAAAGAAATGATGAATCTTTATTAGGTAATTGGGCTCAGAGGTAAGAGGAAAAAAATAACTCTTCCCAACCCCACTTCGGATAGTGTTTAAGCCTTCAAAGGTAAATCTACATGCTGAACTGTATGGCAAATCCCAGGGACCTACTCTTTTCGACACAGCATCTGCACTGCCAAAGAATCCCTCAGCCAGAAACTAGAGGTTCCCCAGGAAAAAACTCATGCTGATATGGAAATAAATAACGTAGAGTTCAAAGCAATGCATGTAAGATGTCCCAATGGCCCCAACGTGAAGCTTCAGCTGAATTCAAAAGTAATAAAGTAGCAATAATAATATTTTTTTACTGGGATAGACATTTTCCTCTTAAGAGCTCATAACCCATGGTAGCTTATATAAAAGCTGATATGCTATTCATGTGGGAGATCATTTTTAAAATAGTGGACAACAAAGCAAAAATCACTGAACTGCTCTAGTGAAAAAATTTTCACGTCAACAAATACTTAGAAAGTGCGATGGGAATACTTTTGCACAAACCTCTTAATTCAGTTTTGACCCTATGGTCTGACATGCCCAGTCAAGGCAAAAAATTTTACTTAAGAGAAATGGGACTTTTAAGTTCTGTTAAGTTATGTCTTTCTTCCTGTCTCCTTCCTTCTCTGCATTGCTTTTTCTAAAATTTTCTCACCTTTATCTTATGACCTAGCTGCCTCTTCCTGCTTCCCACCAAGAGCTTGATCCCATAAAACTGGCCCTTCGCTGATATCCTTGCACATCTGGTCTCCCCAGGATTCCATTTCCCCTAAGACCAGCCCAGGGAAGAGCTATTCACGTAAACCAATCTCAGGAAGGAGTTATTGGCCTAGTAATTTTACCAGATCAGATAAGATTTACACTCAAATTGTTGCCTTAGATACATTTCAACACACAATGTTATCAATTGAGCCAAATAACTATGGAAGAATTTACTGACCAAAAAATGTAATAGCCTTTTTATAGCAAAGATAAATAAATGATTTTTTAGAGCACCTGATTTGTACAAGGTGTCCCGTTAAACTCTTTGAAATGACACAAATACAGCACTTAACCATCCTGAGTCCGAGGACTACAGACTTCATGAAAGAAGTAAGCCAAGCATCTTCAGTGTAGGGCTGGTGTGTGGCACAGGGAGGTATACAGAGACCTTTGTGGATGTTCTCTGTATGGAGGAAGGGCTTGGAAGGGTTTTCCCCTAGATGAAGGGATTGAGGAAAGATTTGCTAAGTAGTGCTTTTGTCTGTGTTTTGTAGAAGGGTTCAACCAGTATAGGGAGGATTAGGGCAGATTAAAAAACCTTGAGCAAACATGTGAAAAGTCCTACCAGGTGGTTTGCTCCCTTAGACAGCCCTCAGGGATGTCATAGTGATGGAAGGCTTTAATGGCATAGACAAGGAAAGAGGGCTCCCAGCGTCAGGCTTCCAACTCACAGCCTCCCTGCCAACCAGTGTAATCCAGGCTGGGAACCCAATTGCCTCCTGATGGATGTCATGGATAGAGCTATGTGGGAGGAGAAAGGGCCAGAAAAACCTGTTCAGATTCCATGTGACAGGCCCCAAATGCTATGCCAAGGAGTTTGAACTTAATTCCAAGGGAAATAGGGAGCCTCAGAAAGCACGAAAATAATGTTTTCAGACTCCCACATAGGCAAGTGTGTGTGACTATGTGTGGGTGTATGTGTGAGTGTATGTGCAGGTGTGAGTCTGTGTGTGTGTGTATGTTCATATGTGGATCTGTGTGGGTGTGTATAAGTGTATGCGTCTGTGAGTGTGCACATGTGTAGATTTAAGGGTTTGTGTGTATGCAGGTACGTGAGTGTTACGTGTCTGATTGTGTGTGTTAATGTGTGAATGGGGGTGTGTTAGTCCATTTCAGGCTGCTGTAGTGAAATACCTTGGACTGGGTAATTTATAAACAGCAGAAATGTATTGCTCACCATTCTGGAGGCTGGAAAGTCCAAGATCAAGGTGCCAGCAGATTTAGTGTCTGGTGAGGGCTCGTTCCTCATAGATGATGCCTTGTATGTTCCTTACACGGCAGAAGGGGAAGGGGCAAACAAGCTCTGTCAAGCCTCTTTTGTAAGAGCTCTAAACCCATTCATGAGGGCAGAGCCTTCATGACCTAATCACCTCTCAAAGGCTCCACCTCTTAAGACGATTGCACTGGGGATTTGGTATCAACATATAAATTTGGCAGGGGAGTGGGGGGCACAAACATTCAGACCATAGCAGGAGACAGTGGGGGAAGGTACTGACAGAGATGAGCTAGTCAGTGTAGAGGAGAACTGAGCTTCATGCAGTGGGGACTTGATGGACTCTGATCTCAATCAATAGTTCCACCTCATTGTTGATGTATCCCAGCCTTGGGAGGGAGGGCTGTCACCCTGAGGGCCTCTGCTGCCCAACCAGGAGCCAAGCCTTTGGCATTGACTCTCTCTGACATCCCCTGCCTGTCACTGAAGGCTGTCATTCACCCCTGCTTGCTTCTTCCCTTAGGGAAATGCAGGTCTTCTTTTTCTCTTCTACCTGCCTTATTATTATTATTATTATTATTTTTTGAGATGGAGTTTCATCCCTGTTGCCCATGCTGAAGTGCAATGGCACGATCTCAGCTCACTGTAACCTCCACCTCCCAGGTTGAAGTGATTCTCCTGCCTCAGTCTCCCGAGTGTCTGGGATTACAGGCGCACGCCACCACACCCAGCTATTTTTTTTTTTAATTTTTAGTAGAGACAGGGTTTCACCACATTAGCCAGGCTGGTCTTGAACTCCTGACCTCTCCACCTGTCTAGGCTTCCCAAAGTGCTGGGATTACAGCCTTGAGCCACTGCGCCCGGCCCTTCCTGCCTTATTTTTTTAAAAAGCATATATATACACACACACACACAGATACACACACACACACGTAAACACATACACATACACATATACATATGTAGATGTGTTTGTACATATATATGTGCATATATAATTTTAAAAACAGAGAACAAGGAAGAGATATGTGATAGGGTTTTATTTTAATCCTGTTTTTTAACCTGTCATTGATTTGCAACAGGACCTGGGACATGTTATGCAACTAATTTCTTCATTCTAAAAATGTTGGCCAAAAGCCTAATGCATGCTCAGCACTGTGTTGCCTCTTGCTGGAGTTACTTTCAGGAACAAAAACAGAGGCAGAACTTACTAATAGGGGAGCTAGACATTACAAGAAATTACACTGATCTGGCAACTACGTGGAGGAAAGGGCTGGGGTCAAACATACAGGGTACTATGAGAAAGTGTATTTGGGGGCCCTAATTTCCTCAGTGGGAATTGGAGGAAGCATCTTCCTTTGTTAATCGGGGATACTGGCACTGACCTGAAGGGGCTGCTGTGAAGATTATACCGTATGCCCCGGTGCCTGATAAAACGGCGGTGATTATTGTTGCGGTGGAGGCCCGGTCCCGGACCACTGCAGGAAGGCAGCAGGCTGGGACGCACAGAGACCATAGCAGCCAGAGACGGTCAGTCAAGGGCAAAAATGTCCAAGAGCTGGAGCCCAGACCTGCGAGAGAAGCTCACAGAGCCCAGCCTGGGGAGGGCTGCCAGCAGTCAAGCCAATTCCCCTACTCCTGGCACAGGAGGAGAGGGACACTGCCGCCACAGTCTCCAGCCCTCCCACCAGACTCAGCTCTAGGTTCTGTTTTCCACCAATCCACAGCAGAAACCAAAAGAAGAAATGCATATGACAGAATCAAAGCCATGCACAGTTTTCCAAGTTACAGCTATCTCTCAGGTCAATCCCCAATTTCAAGTCTCCTTTGCTTCTGAAGTGTTCAAAGTAGCTGAACACAACTTTTCCATTACCCAGCAACTCCAGTGACAGGAGATGCTCTGTGTTCCCTGAATCACTGGCCTACTGAAAATAATTTTAGTGGGGTGTTTTAAACTATGGTTAAAAATAAAATAAAATAAAATAAAATAAATAGCATTTTAAGCCATTTTAAGTGCACCATTCAGTAGCAGTAAGTACATTCACATGTTGTACAACCAGTCCCCCATCTATCTCCAGAACTCCTTTCCCCTCACAAAAAGAAACCCTGTACCCATTAAACAACAACTCCCACACCTCCTTCCCCAGCCCCCAGTAGCCATCATTCTACTTTCTGTCTCCATGAATGTGCCTATTCTAGGGACGCCACACAAGTGGAATCAGACAGCATTTGTCCTTTGGTGTCCGGCTTAGCATAACGTCCTGGTGGTTCTAGAAGTTAATGCAGTGTCCACATGTGGATGAAGCTGGGAAACAGGTTAAATGCTGAGTGAGTTATTATATTACAGCAGAGCATCGTGAAAGTCAGCAGCGCCGTAGGTCCGGCCTCATGAGCTGTTTGACTGGGTGGAAGTCACTTAACCTCTCTGTGCCCAGGCTTCCTCACATACAAAATGGAAATAATGACAGTACATATTCATAGGGCTTTCATGAGGATCAAATAAATTACTATATGTAAGACACAGTAATACCTGGCACACTGGGGACACTGGACAAATATTAATATAATTTAAAATAAAGCACACACATGAACATATATCTAAATATAAAATTACAGGCCCAGCACGGTGGCTCATGCCTCTAATCCCAGCACTTTGGGAGGCTGAGGTGGACATATCACCTGAGGTCAGGAGTTCGAGACCAGCCTAGCCAACATGGCGAAACCTCATCTCTACTAAAAATACAAAAATTAGCTAGGCATGGTGGTACATGCCTGTAATCCTAGCAACTTGGGACGCTGAGGCAGGAGAATTGTTTGAACCCGGGAGTTGGAGGTTGCAGTGAGCCAAGATTGCACCATTGTACTCCAGCCTGGGTGGCAGAGAGAGACAACGTCTAAATAAATAAATACAAATATAAAATTATAAAGTTTCTATCCTCACACAACAGATTTTTATGTGATTATGATTTAAAAAATAAAACCACTCTCAAAAAGAATACCTTATATTCATCTAGAAATTAAACATGAATTTTCTATTGGAAACATAGAAAGAAATTTAAATTCATCTATGACAGCCCTCAATCTTAAGAAAAAGATAAGCTCTAGAAGGATTCTAAGCAAGTTTAGAAAAGATATGCCCCAGACTTCCATTTGACAGTCTCCACAACCATTCAAGAAATGAGAGGTAAAACTTAAAACACTGTGATAAAGCAAAATATTGCAAAATTGGTAATGTTCACAAGTTGAGATCTAGAAATACTATAAGCAGTAAACTTCAAAGGGAAAAACATCCTCGATTACTGCATATTTATGGAAGAAGTTTCCCCATACTGAACAAAGAGATGTCTGTTTATCTCAGATAAACCCATTTTATGGGTTAAAAAAAAAAAAAACCTAAATGATCATTTTGAGTGTAGATTTTGCAATCAAAATCTTGACCACATTTTAACATTCTCCCTCCAGTCTTCTACTTCTCAGTCAGAGGTCATCATTGTCACTTTGTGGCTTGACTTTGCAGCCCCGTCTTCCAAAGGCCTGTTGTCTTCTCACCCCGGCACCCACAGGACGTCTGCAGGGAAGCCATGTTGCCTCCTAAGGGCCTGCAGGCTTGCTGTGATCCAGCACCATCAGAGCCAGGTAAGATTTGCATTGTCTCTTCATCTGGTCACAGACGGGCTTTTCCCTTTTTATAAATTTGACACACAATAAGCTTTGAGTGAGACCAAAATCAAGGAACCCAACATGTGTACCAGAGGGTCATTTGAGAGGGTCTTTTGCGTCAGGGCATGGGTTTAAGAGTCCTACAGCTTGGAGGCAGATCCTTGCTCTTATTCAGGTCAGAAACCTGGTAGTTCTTCACTCCCAGCAGGACTGTAAGGACAAAGAATTCAACTGTTTTGACTCTACAGTTTCAGAAATAGAATTTTCCTTTTCAGAGAGAATAGTCATAATTCTCTCTTATCTTACGCTTTCACTTGGCCTTTTTGTGTGTGTGCTGTGCTGGCCTGATTAGAGTCTGTTGTCTTTAAGGGTTTTTCTGAAACGTTTACTCAGGAAACACATGGAATGCACTCTGACAAGTAAAGCCCACGTCTCCATTTACTGAGGCTTTTTGTTTTCACATATTAAATATCTCATACCTAACCCAATACTTTATTCGCCAATAAAGACCCAAGGCGTCAGGCGCAAGGAAAGGAAAGGGAACCAGTGGAAATCAGTGGAATCCCAGTAAGAGGGGAAATATTTCATGAACTTTATTTTTAAAAGGAGGTTTTTAGGGGTACTAGAAAATTCCCCTAGACTTGTTTCATTAGAAAGAAAACACAGTATGTGTCAGGGTATGAAAACAGGAAAGGGTGAGAGAGTAGCCGTTGTTTGATCATCTCAATCAAGGGGAAATTTGTCTGAGGTAAACAGTTCTCAGAAACAGCAATAGTTTCACAGATTTGATTTTTAAAATAGTTTTGGTATCCTCCAAATCAGGCCTAGACTAAAAGTCTGCACTCCTTAGGACAATGAAGGCCAGTGTAAGTCATGCAATAATTAGGACTTGCAATAATTACCTTGGAACCCAAAATGGTGATGACTTTTTTTTTTATCATGGAGTAACTTAGAGATAACAATGTCTAATTTGTGGAGATGAGAAAATAAAAACCAGACTGAGTTAAATATAGCTCTTATCTGCTGACAATAATAGCATGTAAATTGATTGAGAGGTAATTGAAGGAAAAGCATATGGATATATTTAGATTATTCAAAAGGATAAAATATTTATTAACATTAGACACATTGATTAAATATACATGATAAAATTCTAGGGATACACTAAAAGACTAGAAATAAACTGCACAACTTCCAAACTCATAGAGGGAAAAAAAGAAGCAGTACAGATAAGGCAACTTATTTTATAAATTTCTATAATAATTATGTTGACCATATTTAAGAAATAAAAATTAAAGATGACTGCACTAAACATTCAATTTAAGAAGTTAACTTTGAAAAACAGAATAGACCCAAAGATAGTAGGAAAAAAGAAAGAATAAAGGCAAGAGAAGAAGTTAACAAAATAGAAAACATAAAAGCTATAAAGAGGATCAAGATGCTAAGAGTTACATCTTTAAAAACACTAATAAATGGGCAAAATTCCAGCAAAACTGATCAAGAAAAGACAGAGAAGTTATAAATAAACAA